TGACATGGAGGGACAAGAGGACAAGAGCCCTGTTAGCATTCCTAGAACATCCAGCCTATTAAAAAAAAAGAGAGAGGGGAAAAAAAACCACCCTGGGCCTGCACATTGCAGCTTACCGCCATCTTGATGTCCTTGATGCGTGCCGATGGTGTGGAGGCGGCTGGCACCAGAACAGCCCAAGAGAAGGAATGAGAGGCCAATGGAGATTTATGTGAGGAGAGTGAGATGGACAAGGTAAAATTGTCAGGAGGAGTTGTTAGAAAGTAAAATATATTGTGACAATTCCACTCCTGCCGTTCATCAATAAACTGACAGATCATTTAGTGTCAATTAGGAGTGATAGATGGACAAGTCCCCATGATCCTGGGCCAAAATTAATGGCTGGGAGGGAGAGGGTGATTGAAAACGACGGCTGACATTGAGAGGAAAGTCCTGAAGGTCCCCAAGGGGCCATTACTTGCCTCATTCCCTTGCAGATCAATGCAGGGACAAACCCAAAAACAGACACTTCAAGACAAAACTTAATCAGACTTCCTTTTCTACCTTCTCTTTCTCAGTTATGCCCCCTCACTTGGCAGCCTTAATCCCTTGTGCCTACAGTCTCCACATCACAGAGGATATCCACAGATGGCTGCAAGAGGCAGAGTGATGCTGCCATCTTCCCCACAGGTAGGAGCCTGGCTCTGCTCCCAACACAGAGCACAGGGAAGCCCGGCCTGAGATTTATCTCAACATTGCTGGACTGGGAGTGGAGGGGAGAAACAATGACACAAGCTTCCCCCTATGATGTAAGATAGAAAAACTCATGAGCACTTTACTACTCCCACTTGCAAGAGAGAGATGGCCAGAGGTTCTATAAACTAGGCGCTCTCAAGGGTCATTTCATGTAGATACAACACAGGATAGTTTAAGCCCATCTTTTTGAAGCAAGAGATTTTAACTTTACTCACTCTCCCGAGACCTTGAATCATACAAATCCTTAATCTCTTAAATAACCTTCCTCCAGCTCCAGGGTACAATCTCACCACTGCTGACCCTCCAGAGTCCTACGTGATATCTACACTGAGGCTGGGACACCACTGCTGCCATGGTCTAAAGGCCACCCTGATTGTATCTGCTTCCTTCCTGTGGGTGCCCTTAACTGTCACATTCATTCCTGCACTCTGTACTGCCATTTCTGCTCCAAAACTCTTCAGCGTGGTCATTCCGCTAACAAGCCCTGATTATTCCACCTCTGTAAAAGCTACCAGTCAGGAAAGAGCAATTTCAATTATAGCTGGGGCACCTGTTGCTGAAATGCCACAATCCCTGCAAAACAGAGGATTTCCCTGTGCAGGCAATGGAAGGGACTTCCTACTGAAAGCAGCACTTGCTTTTGTTTGCAGGGCCATCTGAAATGAGCTGTGTTTATTCTACAACAATGCCAGCTGCTGCCTGGAAAACTGTATGAATTTTAAGGGGCCAAGCATAGGGTGGTTACAAGGCCAAAGGGAACACAGACCCAAGTAAACTGAAGGTGTCTCAAGAAGCAAAGAAATAAAGATACTAACAGGCAGAGAAATGGAAGAGATTCTAAAGGAAAAACTGGTTATAAGGAAAGTCACTTGGATGAAATCGGCAGAAGCTGGAATTGAATGGATCCTGTAAGCACCTCTCATTTGTTATATGCTCACCAGTGTGCAAAACTGAGTTCCCTTTGCCTTTTCCTGCTGGCAGACACTTTGTGTTTCTTCTTTCTGATGCATGAGATAACCTGACAGTAAAACCTCTGCTTTGCTTGTCACAAATGTCAACACTGATGTCATTAAGGACATCAGCATAGCCTACAGAATGGCACTTGGGCTCCATCCAGTGGTTGGAAAGCTGCCTCTGTAGCAAAAAAATAGCTGTAATTACTGTTATTTATGTAATCTCAGCAGGATACTAGGCCCCAAGTGGCTGCCTAAGTTCTTGGTTGGCCCCCTTTCCTCTCATACTGGGGCTAGAATAAGTAGCCTCTAAGCTTTTCTTCTCTCGCAGTACAAATTAAAATAATCACAGCAGATTCAATTGCAAAGAGCCCTCTCAGTAAGAAAAACAGACTCTCCTGTCACTGCCTTGTGCCATTTTTTTGCTGATTACAGAAGAGGACTCACAGGGTTTGCTCAGCCACTTACCTGTAGCCCTCATCATTATCCAGATATACAAAATGTGACTCCTAGTAAAGACAGCTGATCTACAGAGGTACTGGGAGTCCAAAGTATTCTCTACACTCAAAGTATTCTCTCTGAAACCTTATCAGTAAAAGGCATCATTTTGATCATTCTTCGGAATTTAAATATATGACACCTGTAAATGCTGTGGGAACTCATGATGAAATACTTTATCTTACTTGCACACAGTAAGTAATAGTCTGAGACAGCGCCAATTTGATGGAAAGAACCAGCAGGATGATGAGAATATCTACAACTTTACCTAAGTATAACAAGAGCTGGCAAGGTAAGGGACTAGGAGGCACCATCAAAGGTAGAAAAACGGAAAACCAGGCTGTAGATGAAATTCTACTCTAGCATGTGCCAAATGGAAACACAAAGCAATTTCAAGTGATTATTTCACATTGATAGGCTCTAAGCTAGAAATATACTAAGAAGAGTTTAAGTATCCCTGCAGGAAAAGCAGCAAATGTGTAGTTGCAACTAGCTCAATCTGCCAGAAACAGAACCAAAAGGTTAGACCTAAAATGGGGAGAGAATAGCACACAAACAATTACAAGACCATTTCACAAATGGATGCAGTATCCCATCTGACCCGTAATATATTCACACAGCACAGAAAATGTAACTGCAGCATTCTGCTCATCCTTTCTTTCTCAGTAAAAAAAACACAGATTTTAACTCTGTCAGTTCTGAAAACAAAATTACTTAAAGCAGTACAAACCCCAAGTGTGGTCTCAGTTACACTGGCAAAAGTGCTTATATCTACGTCAGATATGTCAATATAATAATGTTATTCTAGTGTAACTACATCTACCCTAGTGAAATCAGAGCAAGTTAACGGGCTTCCAAACTGAGTCAAATTGGTAGAAAAGCTGTGGGGAGATAAGGCCTGAGAAAACAGAAACAACAAAGCTACAGCAACATTGGTATGACATCAGCCGATGACTCAGACTTTTCACATGAAGGCTTTACTCTGGGATATGTCACAAAGACAGCCTTATAGGCACCAGCACCTCAGACTTTTAATGGAGGGAGAGGAAGAGAGAGGGAGTGAGGAAGAAATAAAGATCAGCTTGTGGAGGATCTGCAGCTGAAGGAAAGAAATGACAGGGGAACAACTGAACAGAATACTAGCCCCTTCTGTGATTAAGAAAAGTCCCCTTCCTTCATAAAATTTGTTCCATAAATGCTCTTAACTCAGATCAAGAAATTACCATCAAGTATGACTTGATACTCTATGCATGAATGAACAAGGTACACATCATCTTCCCAAGTCCCACTCTGCAAGGCCTCGCAGGTAGAAAGGTCTGTACACCTCTCTCTCTCTCTCTCTCTCTCTCCTGTTGAGCTCCTACAGCTGAGTTGTGTCCAACCTGGGAGGAAGTTTTTTAGGCCAAACCCCTGTTATATCTATAAACCACACAACTGGGAGACTGGAGAAGTACCACGGATAACATCAGCTCCAAATCTATCCGATAAGACTACAGTCAAGTGATGGAAAACATCCTAGAACAACACACATCGCAGTGCTATTAAATGAGGAACCTGTACTGTCCTTCAGGGCACATTAGGCTCAGCCCTGAGTAACTGTATTACCTCCCATCCAGTCCCGCACCTAGCCACTAATTACATACTTTATTTTTCCTAAACAACACAATTCACCATTATTCTCTGCTAGCATGTTTTCATAAAGTTTCTGCTTGGTCCTGCGAAGTTCCAAGATCATTGATGGAATCTTTCTATAACCCTGACGTAGATGCATGTTTGCCATGGCAACTTCCAGCTGCAGCCAGCCCATTTACTCTTGTAACAAAGAGCAATAATTTCCCAGAAAAGTACTGTTTTCCAAAATGGCTACCGCAGAGTATAAAACACCTTTCTCATTTCCCCACAAATACTGGATATGTATCAGATCTTTGGATATCCCATCCCATTCTCAAGGTTCCAGGAGAGAAAATACATAGCCTTTCCATAAATCAGAATGCCCCCAAAGCAAGGGTCCAGTTCTATATAGCCTTATTATAGACCTTAATGTATACAAGGAATCTCACATCACTTCATGGCTGAGCCCTTCAGCTCTGTGAATAGGAAACATAACATGAACATAACTTTATAGCTCTTGATGAACAGCTTGTAATCAAGTCTCCTCCTCTCAGTCTGACCTGTTCTTTAATTCTGATACCCATTCTGTTACCATGGCCTGAGATTTCCTTTCTCTGAGTTGTCTTTCTTAAGCATCAGGCTTCTCAACCTGCATTCTCCAACTTGTATACTTTCTTCTATTCAGCTCTTCTCTCTGACCATCTCCATCCATCTCCATTATAGCATACCCCTACACACACATAAACATCGACAAATTTCACCTTTGTTGTCAAGGCTGATCACTAAATCCTGAACTGTTCGTTGCATGCTTGTCACTGACGCACTGTCATGTGTCATTCGCCTGGAAAGGATTCATGAAGACAAACTACCCCCACACAGATCCTGTATTTAATATGCTTTTTATGGTCTTGACTCCCTCCAGTTACTGTACTAGGTAAAGGGATATGCTGCTTCCCACAGACAGGGGCTGGTACGCAGTCCTGAGCTCAGTCAGGTCAATTCATAAAGAACATCAGCAAGGTAAACCATGCAAAAGCAATACTTTGAATGGTTTGAAGGAGTTACAAGGATATTGGAGACAGAGGCAGTCTATAAGACCCAGAAAAATTGTTCCAGTGCCTGTGATAGCAAGTCCAATCAGTGATGTTCAGTTAATCCACGCGTAAGCCCCTCTTAATATGGAAAGAGGCGAGTAGTACTCACTTGCTAGGTGCCAGTACTGGATCATCTGCCCAACCTCCTTGCCGGCGTGGGGGTTTAGGAGGTGGCCCCTTTAATAAAGAGAAGAGAGATGTTACAGCTAAGTCCAGTCAAACCAAAGTCAAGGCAATTCAGACACCATGCCCACTTACACAAATGTAACAAGTTACCAAATAAGAGATTAAGAGGCAGTTTAAAATGGTATTTCATAAAATAAAAGGAAGAGAAATATGAAAGGATAGGTTTTAAAGTGTCTGTGTAAGCACAGGATGAATCGCTCTAATCAATATCACGACAAGCTTCAGGTCTGTATGCGTTTGACTTGCCCAAGACACAGACAGTGCAGTGGCAGACTGATTGGCAAATGTATGTGCTGTGCTGGCAAAGCATGTTTCACCAGGAATTTGATTGTTACTGCTACCCACGTTTTGCTCGTGAGTGTCACACATTACTGGAGAGAGTGCAGCGGAGGGCTACAGAGATGAGGAGGGGACTGGAGCATCTCTCCTCTGAAGAAAGGCTGCAAGAGCTGGGCCTGTTCAGTCTGGAGAAGAGAAGACTGAGAGGCCATCTCATCAACGTGTACAAGTATCTGAAGGGGGAGTGTCAAGAGGATGAGGCCAGCCTCTTCTCCGTGGTGCCCAGCAACAGGACAAGAGGCAACGGGCACAAACTGAACCACAGGAAGTTCCATCTGAACCTGAGGAAAAACTTCTTTCCTGTGAGGGTGACAGAGCACTGGCACAGGTTGCCCGGAGAGGTAGTGGAGTCTCCTTCGCTGGAGATATTCAAAACCCGTCTGCATGTGATCCTGGGCAATATGCTCTAGAGGACCCTGCTTGAGCAGGGAGGTTGGACTAGATGATCTCCAGAGGTCCCTTCCAACCTAAACCATTCTGTGATTCTGTGATTACATGTTTCCTAGGGCATAAGTCTGCTCACATGTTTTAGACACCTTATTTTAGGTGAGGAATTGCTCCCTAGAAGGGCCTGCTTTTCTCCACTGCCAAAAATGGGAAATTAGATGACTAGTTCAGATATGGACAGCCATACCACAGACCTCTAAAGTTAGGTGAGATAAATCCACACACACACACACACAATGAAATGCTAAAGGCGAAGTTCATTTGGACCTTATAGAAGACACTCCCTTCTATTTTCTTGAACTCTCTTGTGTGGTACTCTGCTGCACAGCAAGAGAAAACAAGAATTCAGCTTGGGACTCATGACAGGAATTTTCAAAGGCAAGGGCATGAACTCCCACTGTATGGGAGATGTCCATGGTTTTTTGCACTTTTGGGTTCAGTTCAGCTTGCCTGAAGTACTTCATACAGCACTGGCTTTAGTATTTTGCAGGACAGGCAGTAGTGAAAAGCAAAGGGGCAAGGTGAATCCAGCAGATGAACTTCAGTTTATATAGCTCCCAATTGATGGTGCCCAGTGAGGGAAAGTGGGCTACAGGGATCTGTGAAGGGACCATCACAAGAAAAGACGGTTGGTTAAAACAGCATGACAAAATGAGGAAAGTATGTGGCAACTGAAAAGGAGTCCCAGCTGTAGCAGTGGAGGGGGGACACGTGGCTCCCCAAGCTTTTATGAAGAAAGGGAAAGGGCTGGGTGAATCCTGAGGATTTTTGACTTGACAGAAGGGAGACTGAATGTGTGTGGGGTCAACCCTGAGCCAAGGTCAAATCATCTCTTGCCACAGATGAGGAAGGGGTAGAGTTAACCCCTGATGGTAGGGGTCTCCTGTGTTTATTTCTTGAAGCAAAAGCATTGTTTGTGAGTGTGGGAAATGAAGAGAGCCTGCCAGGGGCAGCCGCTGCCTGCTGCAGGGAGGGGGCATGACCCTACATAACTCCTTGATAGGAGCAAAAATAGTCATTCTCCAAAAATAAAC